CTCATTTGGTGATGAATACTGGATACTTTGAACAGAACGTTTGTTCTGCATTTCTCAAAGTAAGAAGCACATTTCTGAGCAGAAGCTCTACCTCACGTGGAACGTTTCATCTCCCCATACTCTTGGTGTGCTGAGCAATCTGGAAACTGTAAACTTAGAAGCACTGGTGTGGTCCCATGCTGTTCTCATGAGCCAGCTGGTAATCAATATTAATGGATGTAGCAGTTGAAATCATTTTAATGCTTGATCAGTAGGAAAACCTTTCTAGTACAGTTAAACTTTGACTACAAATATCCTGACTGGTGAATCAAAAGTTAATTTTGACTTGCTGCTGTTCATATAGAAAGTGACTTCAGTGTTGTCAAAGTATGCACAATGTGTGTCTGCCCTTGAGACATTGCAGGTGCAGATGGTGTGTGGAAGAGGTAGGTGTGTGGTTTCTTATGCCATATGGCTTTGAGAAAACACTTCAAGTCCTTTGACTTCTTCTCTAAAGGGCTCCTGTCCTTTCTTTGCTGTCCAAAGTATAGGGTGATTTTTTTTTTGTGGCTGCACATTGGTGCCAATGTCTCATTGGGTTCCTAAACTGGATAGCTACCAAATTGAAAAGTAAGTTAGATATTGTTATGACTGCCACCTCAGGGCTGTGTTACTCATGAATGCCCACACCTTTCCATGGGGTGGATTGTTTCCTTTCCAGTGGCTGGTGTCATACATCTATTCAATGTTAATAAAGGGCATATGTCTTTGGGAGGCAGAACTGTTTGCTTTGCCTCGCATCTTCCCCCCTCTTTCTCTTACTCCTTTCATTAGTTGCTGCCTAAGTAGTAAATAAAGCAGCTAGTTGAGCCCAAGGAACTTCTTGTGAGCAGCTCGCATCCTTTTTCATGGATGGAAATGTGGCTGCCCCATCCCTGGCAGTGTCCAAGGCCAGGTTGGATGGGAGCAACCTGCTCTGGTGGAAGGTGTCCCTTCCTATGGCAGGGGTTGGAACTGAATGAGCTTTAAGGTCCCTTCCAAGTAAACCAGTCTGTGACTCTGGCAGTCCATTTGCTTCATTTCCAAAACTTAATGGGAAGTGAGACAGACCTTTTGACATAGTAAAATCATGGAATATAATATATTCTATGATATATAGTGTATATATAGTCATATGTTATGACTATATGATATATAGTCATATGATGTATGTTGTTTCATTTGGAGTTTTTGCATGTTCTGTGCACGGTAGCTGGTAGATTCCTGTCCTGCCAGAGACCATCAGCACTCCAGTACACTTTCTAAAGGTACTTGGAAATGTTTTTAAGTAGTCTGTAAATACCAAGAGATTGGAAGACTGTGTGACCGTTACCTGTTCCTGTTGTCCTGCCTTTCCATATGTTGAAAACTTTAAGGAAAAGATGATTCCCTGAAGCTGTCTCTCAGCTGGCCACCTGAGCCAACCCAGTTGTGTGAAGCTGAACATGTGAAGTGAAAGTGTTGTGCTAAGTCAGACTATTTCTGCTTTCTGTCCCTTTGAGCTGAAAGGTGGTGGGAATGCTTTGTAAGCCCTGGAAACATCGGCATAGTTATGTTGGACTCCATGAAGATAGACCAGAATGTGTTGGTAGGGTTGGGGCTAGGGTTGAAAGCAGTCCCATTACATCCAAGCGGTTTGGGTGAAGAGGGTCTTGCGTGCCTTGAGGTTTGGTGGTCTTTACCAGCACCAGATTTTGTATCTGTTTGTGACACCACTGTTGTATCTGTTAGGGAAAGTCACTACTGAAACCTGCTTGTGTCCAGTTTGAAACATTAAACTTCTGTCCCTTTCCTGCCACAACCCTGTGTACTTCCCAGAACAGCCACGTTTTAAGACATCAGATATATTACAGAGCCCCTTCAGTATCCCCCAGATCAAAGTGCATTTGCAACTTCAACCATACCATGATGTCTGATGTTAGGCTTCCCCTAGTGCTTTTTGTGATGCTAAACTGCTCTCACAACAAGCAAGCACAGCTAACTGAGCACCTCACATCTTACCTGGAGAGACGTTCCTATGGCCTGACCTCCCGTAAGAGCTACTAGTGTTGGCGACTACGACTATGTGAAAAGTGATTGTTAAAAGCTGCTGAAGCAGTAGCTTCTTTATTAAAACCAAAATACAGCCTTGCTGGTGGTGTGCAGCATCCACTCCGCTTTTGGTGGAGCTATTCTGCTGTAATAACCAATTGATTCAGCAAATCCTTTTACCATGTACTTACATTCTTGTCAGCATGTTCAGGTTTATTTAACACGTTAATTGCACCCAGGTTTAATGCATTGTTGACCTTTAAAGCTCTGCTGAATCATGGGCTGTATCTGCATCACTGTCTGTCCTTTGTTGGATGTAACTCTGCACTAGAGAAAGCTTGGAGGAAGTGGTACTTAAGGGATCACGTCAGATGCTTCAAACAGGTGGAAAGCAAAGCTACAGAACAAAGGCATGTTTGATCCAGGACTGGGAAAAGGATTTAAAAGCCTCCCTAGACTGCTGCCTAACCTCTGGCTCAGGTACTCTTTAATGTAGATGAGATCTGAGAAGCTTTCAGAGCCTCGGGTTGAAGAGTATCATAGATGGTGCTTTAGACTTGAGGTGTTTTCCAGAAATAACTTTCTGAAGAATAATACCAGTGTTGAGCTGTTAATTTTGGAGTAATACCTGCTTACGCTGGGTTGCTCACCCATTGTGTGTTTGGAACTCCCCTTGGCCCTGTATTTAAAACACAAATAAGGTTATTTTAAGCTTCAGCAACATTGTAGAAGCAACTGTGTCAAGCCTCAGTGTCCCCTGTTGCTCTCTTTATGGTGTAGGAAGGGGGAACCCTTTTGATCATCTCAGTAATCAGAGAGCAGCAATTCTCTGAAGCCCAGTTCAGCAAGCCTGCCTCATATTAACTTCCGTAGCCCCAAAACAGCTCAGCTATTTGAGAGCCACCTACACAGCTCTCAATTGCATTTGTTTCTGATGTGTCTCAGTGGTTTAACCATAGTACCATAGCATGTATTGGAATTAGTAAAACAAGAGTGTTTCAAACCTAATTCTGCGTATTAAAGAAAGGGGGAGTGTTATTTATTCATATGCTCCTTTAATAGCAGCTTTTTTAAGTTCCCAAAAGAGTGGATTGGGTGCTCTGGAGGAAGCTTCATATGGAAAACATCCTGGCATCAGCCCTATCAGACCAGTTCTGGTGACTGCCATAGTACAGTCAGCTCTGGGTATAATGGCCAAAGGCTCTCATGAAGCTGCTTATCAAATACCAGGGGCTTTTTCTTCTTGTTAGCCTGGTCTTGGAAACCAAGGGCTCAGACAAGAGCTGGGGGATTGTTTGGTTCTCCCCTCACAATGATGAGGGCTAAAACTTAGCTGAGAGAAGTTGCCCTGTATTCTCTTCCCCTTGAATGCACACTCCTGATGCAGCTGGGCTGCACCCCCAAGTGTGGGCAGCAGCTCAGGGAGGGGAGTCTCTCTGTTGCACTCTGGGGAGACCCCCCCCTGCAGTCCTGCTCCAGCTCTGGGGCAGCAGCACAAGAGGGATGTGGAGCTGTTGGAGCGAGGCCAGAGGAGGCCATGGAGATGCTGCGAGGGCTGGAGCAGCTCTGCTCTGGAGCCAGGCTGAGAGAGCTGGGCTGGGGCAGCCTGGACAAGAGAAGGCTCCTGAAGGGGAGACCTGAGAGCAGCTCCAGTGCCTAAAGGGGCTGCAGGAAAGCTGGAGAGGGGCTTGGGACAAGGGCCTGTAAGGACAGGATAAGGGGAATGGCTTTAATGATAATGCACTTCAGTCCTCCATCAAACAGTGGGGGTTTTAATGGTGACCAGCAATCAGAATTATAGTCATTTGGACAGGGCTTGGAGCAAGCTGCTCTAGTGGAAGGTGTCCCTGCCCATGGCAGGGGGTTGGAACTGGGTGAGCTTTAAGGTCCCTTCAACCCAAACCGTGCTGTGATTGTATGAAATCAGCCTCACATTTCAGGAAAGCAGCAGGAGCTGGCAGTGCTGATGCTCAAATTACCCAGTGGAGTTTGAGTGTGTGGATCTGAAGCTGGCATCAAGTCTAACAGCCCTATGGATGCTCTGTACTTAAGTATAAATTACCCCAGAAGGTATCAGTGTGATTAAGATCTTTCATTTTGATTCTGCCAACTGATTCAGACACCAAATCTCTCTATATTGTGTGGTGTTCGGTGAAGTGAGCTAATGATTGCTCTTTGAACACTCAGGTCAATCCACAGTACTTATGTTGTAGGATCAAGGGCAAATTTAGCAAATAAAGTGGCCAAATGTTCCTGAGGCGTTGGGTGGGGAGGCATGAGAGTCTTTCAAAGCTCTTTAGTATTCCTTAGCCCCTGGGTGAGCAGAAAATGAGGCATTTGCACACCATTTCAGCATGATGCTTTCCTATTTCACAGTTGCAGAAATAATCTTTACAAACAACCAACTGTTGTACAACAGGGAGCTATTTACATGTAGTTTTGTTGCTGTCATTCCCAAGATTTGCATTGCAGGGATTTATTTCCCCCTTCTCCTCCTCCCTTAATGTCTATTTTAACCAGTGGATGAGTGGCATGCCTCCAAATCTCTCTTTTTTGAATGGGGATCTGATGTGCTAAGCTTAAAGATAACTGGGAGGAAAGTCTCTGTGTGCAAGTGTTAAGCTGCTATAATTACAGCCATCAGCACATTTTATGTATGAAAAGGTATTTAATTTAATTGTGAGAGCAGAAAAGGTTTATGGAAAACCTTCCTTTAAAAGATCAAGTCGGGTTTTACTTCTGACTCGAGCTTGTGTTTGCGTTGTTGCTTCTACTCTGTGGCTTTGGCAGTCTCTTGTGATTTTTCTTTGCCTTTTTCCATCTAATAGGTCTTGTCTGAAGTGCGTGTGTGTCTCCTTTTCATCTGCTGCTGCTTTCCTTGGAAGCAGTGGAGTTTCTCGAAGGAATTCTCCACAACTGATTTCACATTTGTCATTTATGCGATGTTGCAGAGGAAGATGATGCTGAGGACGTGCCAGAATTTCAGGTGTCTGGGAAAATCGGAGCAAAGAAGCAGAGGAAATTAGAAGAGAAACAAGCCAGAAAAGCACAGAGAGAGGTAAGCATTTCCTGCCACGTATAGAGCCCAGAGCAGAGCCTGAATAGCAGCACTCAGCAAAGAACCGGTGGTGACAGACACCCCAGGAAGGCAAAGGCAGTGTCATCACTGCAATTGTGGGTTTGGTTTAAAGCTTACACTCTAAAGTTCAGCTTTTTATTGTCATATCCCAAAATATGACAATAAAAAATTCCGACAGATCCATGGAAAAATGGCCTCATTTTCTTTGTGTCAGGTTCTCTGGCATTCTTGTGGGGAGGAGAGAGGAGAGAAACTCTTAAATGCTCTTTACTTGTACATATATATACATACAGTCACTGAAAAAAAAAAAGTATATATATATATATTCAGTGGATGTTTCCACTGGCTTACAGCTTAACGTCACCACTGTCTCCCCTTAAAAACACCCTCAAGCCCACAGAGCATTGTTGAAACTCTGGGTCTGTGACCAAAACCATGGGCAGTGCTGTTGTATGTGCTCTCATAGTGCAAAAGCTTTGCATGGGGTTTATCTGTGTTTATTGTTTTTATGGACTGGGGGAGATGAATATTAATCCACAGAAATCTGTGATACAGGGAGATTTTGGTTGAAATCTGTCTCTTAAGCCAGAGACCAAGTATGCAGAGTGAACACACTGTAGCTTTTCAGTTGTTCTTTCTTAAATCTGTGTGTAAAGGGCTTAAATATTGTTGCATTTTCTCAGTTTTGCCCAGCATTTTGCTGTTAATTCCCCAGAAATTCACTTTCTGAAGCATGCTCATGGATGGCAGCAGCTCAGGCATTAATTCTTTTAGTTGTTCTATGTATTTTTTGCATACCCTGTTTTGTTCTGTAAGTTGGGGTTGCAAGAAGAGAAACTCAAACAGCTTTTGCGTATCAGGCTGGGGTGCAGGGTGGACTTACACCTTCTAAAAAAGACAGGGTTTGTGAGACTACTGACATTTTATAATGTGTAGTGAAATCCCATCTTGAGAATTTTAGCATCACCTGAGGTTTTAATCCAGTTTCTGCTTTGCAATGTAGTGGTCTACCCTATAGACAAGAAAATAAGCAATAAACTTGATTTTTATGTTTATATATAAGCTTCTATATTTATATAGAATAGTTTATATATAATATATATAATATATAGTAGATGTTTATATAGAAACTTCTATTATGATTCTTTTCTCACTCTGCTTTAACCATTTCCTCATTACTTTCCATATTCATTCTGTTTAATGAGCCTGTCTTTTTGTGGAAACTGAGCAAAGCTGAATAGATAATAGATAAGCATCAGATGCTGGAGTGAGGGATCTTTTGCTTCTCTTTAAAACACTGATTTTTACTTTCCCATGTAGACAGAGAAATTCCGTATTTGGGTCTTCTCTGAAGCATTCAAAGCCGCAAATCCTCCATTTGAATGTCTTCTGCTTGCTCTCTTAATACAGTTTCAAACTGAAATATACTGAAGAACAACTTAAACATCTAAACAGCACACTAAACACCCTTTATATGTGTGTCCCATTTTGCAACAATCCCTTTGCTAAATTTGGTTTAAAAACTCATCGTAAATTGATTTAAATAGACCAGTACAGGTTTTTCTTTAAAGGATTCCAAGTTAATGATGTCTTTGGATGTACTTGGTGTTAGAGAGTTTATATCCCACTCTGTTATTTTCCCCTCTCCTTATGGTTCATCCCAACTAAACTTTAAGTGAGGAGAAATGGAATGCCATGCGTTGTGGTTTAAGCCCAGCCAACAACTCAGAACCACACAGCTGCTCACTCACTCCCCTATTTCTTCCTCCCCCCACTCCCAGACACCATGACACAATATTGCCTAATTTCACTATGGGAATAAGCTCATATGCAAGGTTGAAGCTTAAACCCTCATGGAAATACAGCTAATGCAAGCGAGAAGGGTGATTTCTATGTTTACCACATCAAGTGTGCAAAAGAGCCATGGGGGGGGATGTTAAATCACACCATGATGACTTTATTACTCTCTTTACTGTTTCTTTCTGAAGGCACATCTAGGAAGATAGGAAAAAAAACCTTCCCATGGTATCACACTATGAAATTAACAAAGGCAGGGTAAAGGCTTGGCCTGCATGATGTATTTTGTGTTTTAGGCTGAAGAAGCTGAGCGAGAAGAACGGAAAAAGCTTGAGTCAAAAAGAGAGGAGGAAAGGCGGAAAGAAGAGGAGAGGATACGCCTTGAGGAGGAACGGCAGGTGGGATTGGTTGTATTTATAGATGGAAACTGAACCAGGTTTGTCTTTGAGTTTGCTTCTATAGAAGTCCTGTGATGAGCAGAACTCCCTTTGGCTTTTGTTACTGTTGCATACATCTTTTATTTGGGGTTGGGTTTTTGTTTCGGTTATAGTAATAGTTATTTCAACTGTAGATCCCAGCTTTGTTCCCCCAGCTGCTTGGCAGAAGTGGAAACTGCTCCAAACATCACTCCCACATGTAGCAGCAAGCATCCACCCATGGTTGAGTCCAGGGCAAAATGAAACCCAGTCTTCTGGTAGTGGTTCTGCTACTGCTGTGTGCCACAGTCTTCTGATCACTTTATTCTGTTGACAAGCACAGCTGATAAAGTTGGCTCTTGGTTCATCTGGGAGATATTTAAGTGCAGATGTATGAAGGAAGGATTATAGTCACTAGAGAAATTTAGGGGGTTACTTGCTTGGGTGTGATCAGGGAAGTTTGGTTGATACAGAAGCATAGAATAATAGGTTGGAAGGGGCCTCTGGAAACCATCGGGTCTATCCTGCTCAAACCATGTCCAGTTGAGCAGGTTGCTCAGGATCTTGACGAGCCCAACTTCAAGTGTCCCTTCAGGAAGATGTCACAACTTCACTGGGCCCCTGTTCCATGTTCTGACATGGTTTAGTTGGTGATCTTGGCAGTCCTGGGGTAATGGTTGGACTTAGTCATCTTAAATATCTTTTCCACCCCAGCTGATTCTATGATTAATGCTCATTTGAGCTGCTGGCCTGGCAGCTGTAACCAGCAGGGCAGAAAGTGAAAAACATCAGCAACTGATTTGCAACTTGTGTGACAATCTGTGATTTGATTTAAATTACACACATTTACACATGCTTCACAATTAAAGATGTCTAAACTATGCATACAAAGGTGTGTGTTAGCAGGAATGACCCAGAAAAACAAGTTACTGTGCAATTGAAATGCTTTTGTTGAATGCTTCTCATCTGTGAGGGAAGCAAACTTTATTTCAAAGCTGCTTTGTGTATCCTGACCGTCAGTGCTACTAAGAACCAGGAATGAGCTTCATACTCTCTAGTGCTTGAGCAAGTTGTGTGGTAGCTTTGCAGTGTGTTTCTGGAAGCAGAGACCAAGTTGTACATTTACCTTTGGGGTTATCCCCCTCCAAATCCTTAATCTTCTGAACTCTTGTTTCCACTTCATCAATGGGAAGCTGATGAATGTCAGAAACTGAAATGGATGAGGAGAATGTCAGCACTACAACATAGGGATGTGTAGCATGGTCTGAGGCTTTGACTTGTAAAGCAACTTGGAACAAACTTCTAGGGGACCAGTTATCCCTCAGTTATCCCTTCTGAGAAAGATGTGCAAATTAGAACTACCTGGTAGTGGTCAAAGCATGAAACCTAATGTTGAATAACTGATCTCAGCTAGCCTGAGCCACTCACTCCTCTGATTAGCAAGGTATTAGCAGCAGAACTATCAGACCCGCATCCTCTGGATCTGTGTCCACACGCTCCAGTGGCACCAGCTTTATCCTTGTGCTTCCTGAGACCACTCTGCTTTTCTCTTTAGTATTTCCACTTTCTCCTCATACTTCCAGCTTTAAAAGAGGCAAGACAAGCTCTGTCTGCTTCTAAAGCACATCCTGCTTGGTATAACAGGTAACTCGGCAAATTTCCCTCTTGTGGTATATTCTCCCAAGTGTTTTTAAGTGTTTTGTTGCCATCCATTTGCCTGATTATTATTTTTCATTGTTTTTTTTTTTTTTTTTTTTGCTGAGGGTCTGTGAATTTAATGTCCCTGAAACCATGAACAGTTGGTTGAAATGAACCAAGTTACTCCAATACTTTGAGGGATTGGAAGGATACCCTGCCTGAGTGCGTTGTTTAAGTGTCACTTCCTTCAGAAGAGGCTTATGAAGACAATTTCAGTTCCTTCCAGAGTGATAGCCAGCAGGACAGGTGAATCACTAAGCAAACTGCAGTTGAGCTTGGCCAGCCTGCTCCAAAGAAGCTGTAGCACAGGACAAAGATGTTATCCTGTTGGTTACCTAGGGGGCTGACCTGCGGGTTAGCGGTGTAGCTGGCTTCTCAGGAGCAGTCAGGCATGGTTGAAAAGCTGACTAGAAAATAGGGGTGACATTCAAGCTAGAGATGTCTTCATGCAGAAGGTGCTTATTGATATATTTAGCTGTTTTTTTGAATTGCTGCTTTTCAGTGTAGGGCTGAGTAATTTATGTTGGCTGAATGAGGAAACTCTTATTTTTACTTTTCAGTATTCCTAAAGACTGCACTAAAACACTCCCACCTCCATGTTGCAAGACTCAATGAGAAGAGGAATATGAACTAAGGCTCTGATTTTGTTGATTTGGTTTTCCTTTGTGTGGCACAGCCCAAAGGGGCCCTTCCTGATAACTGTGAAGATAGCTCAGATGCCTGAATCCAGACTGCTTTAGCCAATACCTTCCTTAAATACTTAAAGTCTGCTATTTCAAGGTTCTTTTTGTGTGTTTCATTTGTTTCCAGTAGTCTTTGTCATGGCATCAAGCCAACCCACCATTCTACATCACAGATGTTCTGCTGCTGCTCAGAGAAAACTGCTTTCAGTAATTTTTTTTGCCTGGTTCCAAGTTGTTAATCCAGTAACCACTGAACATTTTGAGTGTGGATCCAAGTAAATGTGTCTGACAATATCTAATGCCCATCCTCGACTGCTTTCTAGTACTTTTAAGTCTCCATCTTCATCCAAGTCTTTGTACTTGGTTAGGCTGTGTTGGTCAAGTTCCTGCTTCAGTCTGCAAAGAGAGCAGTATTGTTATTTACGTATTATTTAACCTGCCAGAGGGGAGACTGAGATGAGCTCTTAGGCAGAAGCTCTTCCCTGGGAGGGTGCTGAGGTGCTGGCACAGGGTGCCCAGAGAAGCTGTGGCTGCCCCATCCCTGGCAGTGTTCAAGGCCAGGTTGGACACAGGGGCTTGGAGCAAGCTGCTCTAGTGGAAGGTGTCCCTGCATGTGGCAGGGGTTGGAGCTGGAGGAGCTTTAAGGCCTCTTCCAACACAAACCAGTCTGGGATTGTGTGATAACAGGGGGCTGTAACCAGACTTCAGTGTGTTAGGCTTGAATAGGAGGGGAAACAAATAGAATGAAAAGGTGCTGGTTTGCTGTGCATGTAAGCACAGCCTGTTTTTATGATTGTAACACTGTACCTCTCAAATCTTATTACAGACTGATGGTGTGATCTAGAATCATAGAAACACAGAATAGTTAGGGTTGGAAAGGGCCTTAAGTTCATCCAGTTCCAACCCCCTGCCTAGGGCAGGGACACCTCACACTAAACCATGCCACCCACTCTGTCCAACCTGGCCTTGAACACCACCAGGGATGGAGCATTCACAACCTCCCTGGGCAACCCATTCCAGTGCCTCACCACCCTCACAGGAAAGAATTTCCTCCTTATATCCAATCTAAACTTCCCCTGTTTAAGTTTTAACTTGTCCTATCACTACAGTCCCCAATGAAAGGTAAACAGTGTCAAAGATATTGCTTCTCTCTTTTAGGCCCCTATAAGTGATAAAGGGATCATTGGATTTATTGTGCTTTTACAGGATAGATAGGAATAAATGTCATGTCTATGTTCCTCTAGACAAAGGATTCCTCATTCCCATGAGTCATGTTTTCCCCTGTGTAAGTTAGGAGGTGGAAAGGCAGAATTAGACTAGGTAGCTGAAGTAGTGATTGACAGTCATGAGATAAAATCAGAGGGCAGCTGGTTGTATTTCTGGAGGCAGTTTGATTATTGCCATTGCTGTAGTTCATATAATCCCATGAGGCACAAGAAACTTGGAGTTTATTGTTGAAGTTTGTCAGACAAATGCTATGGTTGTCAAATAGCTTCGTTTTACTCCTTCCTTTTCCAGTACTTCAGGTTATTTCTGCAGGTTACAGGGACAATGGCAAGTCTTCAACTGCACAACCAGCTTTGTTAGCTGAAATTCAGTTGAACCTTTGTTTCAGCCTCTCGCCCAAGAAGTGCTACCTAAATTGTGCTAACTTCTGTGAGCACTAAGATTGGCTTTGTGTAAAGGAGAGTTTCCTTTTGGAGTTTTAGCTACAGCCTTAAACCAATAGTTAAATCCTAGTGAACAGCAATAGCTGATTTCTGTATCATTAAATACTATCTAAAAGTGTGTCAGATGGTGAGGGGAAGCCAAATAGATTCAGGGTTGGAAAATCATGTTGCAGCTTGCAGATCATCTAGAAATTCCCCTGTGTTGATCCGTGATAAAGTCACTGTTAAACCTTTCACACATGCACATCAAACAGTTTGAGGTATGGAGTCTAGTGGAAATACTGAATTCTTGAATCAGATGAAAACCCACTTTGGTTTATAAGCAAATGGACATCTGGTTTTGGGCAGCTCTACACAGAGCTATAGTATAGGTGGGAACAGAGCTATAGTATAGGTGGGAACTGTACCTCCAAGGGAGTTACGGGGGCTAAAATCTTGCATATTGGAGAGAATAATAACCACCTGGTTCTATTTAAAGTTATTTGTATGTACATATAAATAAAATGTGGTTGCCCCTTGGCTGCAGTGTTGCAAACCAGATAATGTATTTTTAAATTCAAGCTTCCTTTCCAGTGTTCTGATGACCTGATTGGCTCTGCATGTGAGGAAGCTCCTTTTATAATTGGCATTTACTTCAGCTCTGCTTTACCCCTGGGGATTTCCCTTTCACTCTTGGAGTTTTTTAGTGGTGAGATGGTTTACCAACCGACACCTTATCAATGACAGCGAACTTCCTCTGATGTTGCAAAACAGTGCCTTCATACCAAGCCTTGCAGGTTGCTCTCATAAGAGCTTTTCTTTTCCCTATTTTACTCCCTCAGCCTAGCTTTGCCACACTAAGGAGGCTCTTGTGAAGATGCAGGGCTCACAGCTATCATTATTCCATATTAAAACGTGGTGTTGAACAAGGCATGCTGCTGTAAATCCATCA